AGCCGGTACTCGGATCTGTCATCGGCCGTGTCCGAGGTGCACGGCCGGTGACAGATCGCACTGCTGCGCCGCTCTGCATTAGCGCAAACGGCGCATGTGCGGGAGCACGCCAAATGGCGTGCACCTGGAATGGAGGGACACAATTGAAGCCGCCAAACGCCATTGGCCGGGTGGCTAATGGTTAAGGGGGTTAAATCCTCAGGAGGGCAAGTGGTTAAAGCCCAAATCTAGAGTAAGAGTGTTGATAGAGCAGGAGCCTATCCTGGTCAAAATCTGTATCCAGTCTTCCCTGTCCCTAGTGCCTTTAAGGTCATGTTCCCCTTATGGACATAGGCGTGTGACCTCTTGGACTTTTCTTTTCTAATGGTTTATATTAGATTTTCAGTAGAGGTGTAAATAATCCAATAGTTACACATGTAGAAAACCGTTCACATTATTCTCATATCAAAATACAATCATCAAATAAACAAAAGGGTGATGTGTTCTCAACAGTCACTATTTCCTTCAAACACAGAATAAATGTCTCCAACCTTTTACAGTGAGGATATATAAGTGTAGACCTGATCATACCCTAACCCCACCAATGATATTCACAAGATGGGGGGGACAATGGGGTGGTACAGTTGTAGTACTGGGGTCAGCCAAGCCATCCATTATGTGCCCAGTGGATGAAGGGCAGAGTAGGCCAAACAGCACTACTAGTTCCTGTAAGTCTGCACTACTCCCCTAGAATATAGGTCTATGGTTAACTCATATTCAACGTTACCTCCCAACAGGTGGCCTGGGGGGCCGGGACTCTAGGACTCTTAAGATCATTCAGTTGTGAATAGATAGTTGAGATAAGTTTGGGGGCAAGAGAGTACGTTGGCAGATATGTTCAAGGAGAGTTGAGTCCAAAGATCTGTGTTAGTAATTATGGTAGTCATCCAGTGTTTAATTTGTAGGAATGGAAAAAGTTTAGTGGGTGGGGCTTGGAATTTTTCCTATACAGAGCAACCAGCAATAAAAGAGTAAATGTAATGGAAGTTGTGGGAAGCCCACCTGTGAAATGTGATGAGACTCTAAACCCTGAGGAAATATTGGATCGCCCAAAGCAGGGAAGAGAGGCAAGTGAGGTGATATGAAGTTGCTGGAATATTTATTAGAGTTCCAGGTGCAGAGTGTGTGACCCATCAAGAGGCTGATAGACGTAGGTCTGGATTTGGAGGAAGCCATGGGAGTGAACGATGAGATGTTGAGAACAGAGCAATGCTTCTAAGTCAGCCCATAAGGAGCCATGTATTGTGGTGTAAAGGGAGGTTAGTGGGGTAATCTGGGCACCAAGAAATATTTACTAAAAGCTGAAACACCCAACCTCCTTGTTCCTTATGTATAATATCGCATGTCTTGAGATTTGTGGCCCTTTGTCTGCTCGGTTGAATCACAAGACCTGATTTTAAAAAGATTTGAGAGTATAGGAGGAGATGGGGATTGGAAGAGTATGGAACAAGTAGAGGAGTTTTGGTAAAATTGTCATTTTTCCATCACTGGTCCTCCCTATCCAGGAGAGGTGAAGATGAGTCCAGGACAGAAGTAGGACTCTCAAGTATTTGAAAGTGGGGATGTAGTTGGCCTCATGGAGTGTGTTGTACGAGCGAGGGAGATGAATGCCCAAATAATCAGGTAGGAGGTGGGCCAAGGAAACTATAATTCTGTTTTACAGAGGAAAGGGAAATGTATGGAGTATAGAGAATAGGACTGGCAGGAGGTGTTGGGTTGGACCAAAGTTAGCAAAAGATCATCAGCAAACAAACTGACTTTAACCAGTTCAGGACCGACCACCACACTTATACTGCGGCAGGGCTCCAGATCACATACATGTACACGTGTGAGCCCACCGCCCTCACTGTGCTGTCATTTGGTACAGCATAAGTCAATCTTGAGGTCCAGGCCAATGATTTTTGGCCTGGACCTGCTGATCACCTGTACCGAATCAGAGATCAGCCTGTGTCCTTATTTGTAGACACAGAAACTGCATGGATCTTCTCTCCTGGAGCCATTTTCAGATCAGAGAAGAGATCAGACCTGTGTGAGTACAAACAGCACACCTACACTTACAAACACCTAGTTAACCACTTGAAGTCCACCCTATAGCAGTTTTACTGCTACAAGGTGGAATCCCTGTGCAAAATCATGTATATAAACATGATCCGCACTCCCCAACATGTTCCTGGCTGTGGGTGTGTACATGTGCGTCCTCCGGCCCGGTGTTGCTGTGATTCGGTACAGCACTGATCACTTACCTGGTCCAGGTTAATGATGATTGGTCTGGACCTGCTGATCGGTTGTACCGAATCAGAGCTCATCCTGTGCCTGTGTTTACAGAACACAGACATAGAAAATGACGCAATCTTCTCTCTCTGGAGCACATTCCATTCCAGAGAGAAAATCAGATCCATGGGAGTCAAAGCAGCACACTTTACACTAAAACACATAGTTAGGTCACATTTAACCCCCTGATCGCCCCCCAGTTAACCCTTCCACTGCCCTGTCACCATTGTCATTAGTACAGTGTACAGATTTTTTTTACTGATCACTGTATTAGTGTCACCGGTGACTTCAGATCGCATTATCATCCCTCCCAGATAGAGTCAGATTGCCCACCACTTTATTACCAACACATTTAACCCTTTGATTGCCAGGAACACGCTCACATACACACTATAAACCTCCATTGCTAGCATAGTGTCTGAATGGATCAATGTCTTTGATCAGAACTAAATTAGCATTCACAATAGTATAGTGTTCCCAAAAACACAGTGTTAGCAGGATCAGCCCCTGCCACCACCTATGTTTAGCTCCTCTGCCCCTCCAGCAAGTGCAGTGTCAGTAGATCAATGTAACTTGATACATTGCACACAAAATGGCAGGGTTAGCAAGATCAGACCTGATCTCTGTTAGCACTAGCAGGTACATTTTTTTGTAGCGGTTCAAGTACTCCCTGACAGCCAGGTGCTCTTTTTCCGGTGAGTTGCACTAGGTAGCCATAAAGTAAGTGGCCAAAGTGTCCAGCAAAATGTACTCTAGTGAAGAGGCCTACAGGATTCTGAGTATGACAAGCAAGAGCGAAGGGAAAGTCTCACTGAAAGATCAGGCTCAGAATACGAACCTGTAGAGAGCAGCAGCACCCTGAAAGGTAGTTCAGGCATACCCAACCCCGTTCTCAGGTTGCTGAGGTGTTAGAATTGCATGATGATTCTCATATGCAGCAGAGTGCCAGTACTAGTGCCGCGCTACCTTTTGGTGAACTGGCGAGCACCAGTGGCCTAGTACATCCTGGTCTTTCACATACCAGCACTGCAGTATCACTTGGTGATGGGGCGAGTCCCATAAGTGCAGTACAAGCTGGTGCGGTGGCGAGCACAACTATTGTCCAGCAACCACCAAGAATTCACACACAGGCCCGTAGAGCCCATAGTGTCCTTCCGGATGTGCTTGCAAATCCTGATTGGCAGCCCACACATTCTTCAGCACCCATAGTTCCCCCATTCACTGCCCAACCTGGAATTCAGGTGGAAACAGCAAATGTAATTTCTTTTGATTTTTTGGAGCTGTTTTTCATGGAATATCTGTATGCATTGATTGTGGATGAAAGCAATTTATATGCACAACAATTTATCGCCAGCAACCCAAATTCAGCTCTTGCCAGACCATTCGCATGGAAACCCATTACAGTTTCTGAGTTTAAATTTTTTTTGTGCCTAACCCTCAACATGGGCATTACTAAAAAAAAATGAATTGCAGTTGTATTGGTCCGCAGACCCGATTCATCATATGCCGTGTTCTCTGCTGCCATGGCCAGGCATAGATATGAGAATAGAATGCAATGTGTGGATTTCAATGACAATACACTCTGTCATCCTTGGGGTTGACCCTAAATATGGTCAGCTCCATAAAATTTGGCCCCTAATAAATCACCCTAACCAGAAATGTGCAGATTTCTACAAATCAACGTTCCTGATGATTGTATTCACTGCACCCCCTGTGTATTCCTAGGCCCTCAGGTCCATGGAAAATCATGTCTTCTCTAATCAAATATCTGTGCAATTAACAATAAATTAATATGAGCGATATTTCTCACAGCCGGGGGAAGGCGAGCAACATTTATTTATTCATTTTAATGATTTATTACAGGATTTATATAGCACCAACAGTTAGCACAGCACTTTACAACATGAGAGCAGACATCACAGTTACAATACAATACAGGAGGAATCAGATGGACCTGCTCCTTAGAGCTTACAATCTAAAAGGGGAGGGTCAAGTGATACAAAAGGTAATAAGGGTGGGGGATGGGCGGATGCAGAAGATATATGTACTTTTGTTAGGTGGAAGCAGGATAGGTTTATCTGAAGAGAAGGGTTTTCAGGTATCGTCTAAAAGTGAACAGTAGGAGATAGTCAGATTGGGGTAGGGAATTCCATTGGATGGGAGAAGCTCGGGAGAAGTCCTGCAGTTGAGCATGGGAGGAGGTGACAAGGGAACTAGAGAGCAGGAGGTCTTGGGAGGAACGCAGATTGCTATTTGGTTGGTATTTTGATACTCGGTTGGTGATGTAGCTGGGGGCAGAGTTGTGGAAGGCTTTGTAAGTTGTTAGTATTTTGAATTTAATTAGTTTTGTGAGTAGCAGCCACCGGAGGGATTGGTAGAAAGGGGTGGAGGACACTGAGTGGAGGGATTGGTAGAGAGGGGTGGAGGACACTAAGTGGAGGGATTCGTAGAGAGGGGTGGAGGACACTGAGTGGAGGGATTGGCAGAGAGAGGTGGAGGACACTGAGTGGAGGGATTGGTAGAGAGGGGTGGAGGACACTGAGTGGAGGTGAGTGGAGGGATTGGCAGAGAGGGGTGGAGGACACTGAGTGGAGGTGAGTGGAGGGATTGGCAGAGAGAGGTGGAGGACACTGAGTGGAGGGATTGGTAGAGAGGGGTGGAGGACACTGAGTGGAGGTGAGTGGAGGGATTGGCAGAGAGGGGTGGAGGACACTGAGTGGAGGTGAGTGGAGGGATTGGCAGAGAGAGGTGGAGGACACTGAGTGGAGGGATTGGTAGAGAGGGGTGGAGGACACTGTGTGGAGGTGAGTGGAGGGATTGGCAGAGAGGGGTGGAGGACACTGAATGGAGGCCAGTGGAGGGATTGGCAGAGAGGGGTGGAGGACACTGAGTGGAGGGATTGGTAGAGAGGGGTGGAGGACACTGAGTGGAGGGATTGGCAGAGAGGGGTGGAGGACACTGAGTGGAGGGATTGCTAAAGAGGGGTGGAGGACACTGAGTGGAGGTGAGTGGAGGGATTGGCAGAGAGGGGTGGAGGACACGGAGTGGAGGGATTGGTAGAGAGGGGTGGAGGACACTGAGTGGAGGCCAGTGCAGGGATTGGCAGAGAGGGGTGGAGGACACTGAATGGAGACCAATGGAGGGATTGGCAGAGAGGAGTGGAGGACACTGAATGGAGGCCAGTGCAGGGATTGTTAGAGAGGGGTGGAGGAAACTGAATGGAGCGGAGTGGAGGACACTGAGTGGAGGGATTGGCAGAGAAGAGTGGAGGACACTGAGTGGAGGCCAGTGGAGGGATTGGCAGAGAGGGGTGGAGGACACTGAATGGAGGCCAGTGGAGGGATTGGTAGAGTGGGATGGAGGACACTGAGTGAAGGCCAGTGGATTGTCAGAGAGAGGGGTGGAGGACACTGAATGGAAGCCAGTGGAGGGATTGGTAGAGTGGGATGGAGGAGGACACTGAATGGAGACCAGTGGAGGGATTGGCAGAGAGGAGTGTAGTACACTGAATGGAGACCAGTGGAGGGATTGGTGTAGATGGGTTGAGGACACTGAATGGAGGCCAATGGAGGGATTTGCAGTTGACCAGCTTAAACATGTATTGCAATATGTGTGAACTAAATGTCCCTATTTATTGCATAGTCAGCTTGAAGGGTATATACCAGAGTGCAGGGGGGCCTTCAGAATTTCTGGTGTTAATATGTGGTTACACCCCTTTAGTACCTGATGGATAAATGCATGTCCTAGCTGTTGGGATTTGAGCACAGGGATCTCTTGTTTGTTGGATTTGCAGAGAAGACACTGAATGGAGACCAGTGGAGGGATTAGCAAAGATGGGTGGAGGACACTGAATGGAGGCCATTGGCTGGCAGAGAGGGGTGGAGGACACTAAATGGAGGCCAGTAGAGGGATTGGCAGAGAGGGGTGGAGGACACTGAGTGGAGGGATTGGTAGAGAGGGATGGAGGCCAGTGGAGTGATTGGCAGAGAGGGGTGGAGGACTCTAAGTGGAGGCCAGTGGAGGGATTGGCAGAGAGGGGTGGAGGACACTGAGTGGAGGCCATTGGCTTGGCAGAGAGGGGTGGAGGACACTAAATGGAGGCCAGTAGAGGGATTGGCAGAGAGGGGTGGAGGACACTGAGTGGAGGGATTGGTAGAGAGGGATGGAGGCCAGTGGAGAGATTGGCAGAGAGGGGTGGAGGACTCTAAGTGGAGGCCAGTGGAGGGATTGGCAGAGAGGGGTGGAGGACACTGAGTGGAGGCCATTGGCTTGGCAGAGAGGGGTGGAGGACACTAAATGGAAGTCAGTAGAGGGATTGGCAGAGAGGGGTGGAGGACACTGAGTAGAGGGATTGGTAGAGAGGGATGGAGGCCAGTGGAGTGATTGGCAGAGAGGGGTGGAGGACTCTAAGTGGAGGCCAGTGGAGGGATTGGCACAGAGGGGTGGATGCCACTGAATAGAGGCCAGTGGAGGGATTGGCAGAGAGGGGTGGAGGACACTGAGTGGAGGCCAGAGGATTGGCAGAGAGGAGTGGAGGATACTGAATGGAGGCCAGTGGAGGATTTGGCAGAGAAGGGTGGAGGACACTGAATGGAGGCCAGTGGATTGACAGAGAGGGGTGGAGGACACTGAATGGAGGCCAGTGGAGGGATTGGAGGAGAGGGGTGGAGGACATGGAATGGAGGCCAGTGGATTGGCAGAGAGGGGTGGAGGACACTGAATGGAGGCCAGTGGAGGGAATTGCAGAGATGGGTGGAGGACACTGATTGGAGGCCAGTGGAGGGAGTGGAAGAGAGGGGTGGAGGACACTGGTTGGTTGGTAAGGTGGAGGAGTCTGGCAGCATTCATGATGGACTGGAGGGGGATGGCCTATGTAAAGATCATCCAATGAGGAGGGAATTGCCGCAGTTTGAGAGATAACCTGGGAGTGAGTCGGAAGCTTTGTGGTGTGATTGGTCAGGAAGGGGCATATTCCGGAGATGTTGCGGAGGTTGAGGCGGCATGATTTGGACAGGGATTGGATGTTGGGCTGAAAGGAGAGTTCAGAGTCCAGGATGACCCCTCGCACCCTGACATGGGGGGATGGGTTGATGGTTGTGCCATTGATCTGGACAGAGAAGTCGGGGGAGGGGCTCCTAGTAGACCTCTAAATGTTTACAAAACCTTACAGAATGGATGGAAAGTCATGATTCCATTTTTATTCTTTTCCTGCCATCAATGGCCAACCCGGTCCCACACTTCATCCATGTCTTTGGTGACCTCTGATCTCCTTATGAACTGTTTCTTCCATGATGAAGATCAGCCATGGAGTATATCTGAGGTGTATATCAGGGTGTGCTTCTTCCCCACATGAGAGCTGGGATGTCCAGCAACATTCATCTAGAAGACATTTCCCACACTCAAGGCACTAATACACCTCCAGGGTTGTGTGGGATCCCTGATGTACAGGAAGACAGGACTTCAGTGAGGAACATTTCCCTCACTCAGGACAGGAAGTGGCTTCTCCCTCGTGTGAGATCTCTGATGTCTGTTAAGATGGGACTTCTGTGAATAACATTTCCCACACACAGGACAGCAATACGGCTTCTCCCCCGTGTGAGATCTCTGATGTATAACAAGTTCTGATTTGAATACAAAACATTTCCCGCACTCAGAACAGGAATATGTTTGCTCCCCTGTGTGGGATCTCTGGTGTGTATAAAGATGGGACTTCACTGAAAAACATTTCCCGCACTCAGGACAGGAAAGTGGCTTCTTCCTTGTGTGAGATCTCTGATGTTTGGAAAGATGGGAGTTCTGTGAAAAACATTTCCCACACTCACGACAAGAATATGGCTTCTCACCTGTGTGAGATCTCTGATGTGTGTAAAGACTGCACTTCACTGAAAAACATTTCCCGCACTCAGCACATGAATACGGCTTCTCCTCTGTGTGAGATCTCTGATGTATGGAAATACTGGACTTCTGTGAAAAACATTTCCCGCAGTCAGGACAGGAATAAGGCTTTTCCCCTGTGTGAGATCTCTGATGTATGTAAAGATAGCACTTTCTTGAAAAACATTTCCCGCAGTCAAGACACAAATAAGGCTTTTCTCCCGTGTGAGATCTCTGATGTGTGACAAGTTCTGATTTTTTTCCAAAACATTTTCCGCACTCAGGACAGGAATGTGGCTTCTCCTCCATGTGAGATGTTTGATGTCTGTGATAAAGGGACTTGTCCGAAAAACATTTCCCGCACTCAGAACAGGAGTATGGTTTTTCCCCGTGTGAAGCCTTTGATGTGTAACAAGACTTGATTTTATTACAAAACATTTCCCGCACTTAGGACAGGAATATGGCTTTTCCCCCGTGTGAGACCTTTTATGAACTTTAAGGCTGTATTTAGCACTGAAACATTTCCCGCACTTAGGACAGGGATACGGCTTCTCCCCCGTGTGAGATCTTTTATGCACATTAAGATTGTATTTAGAACGGAACCTCTTCCCGCACTCAGTACAGGAGAATCTCTTCCCTGTTGGAAGGCCGGCCCGGTCCCGCACAGTCTGAGGTTCCTCAGGATACGAGGAATCCGATGGTCCATCTACACTGGGTGGTGCCGGATGGACATTGGAGGGAGCCGGGTTTTCTCCTGGACTATACTGTGTGATGTCCTCATCTTCTACTTTCCAGTCTGGAGACAAAGTGAGACAATCCTCGGAGGTTTTCCTCATCTCCCGGCCATGGACTAAAATACAAAGACAAAGAGGATTACTAGACAGGAGCTGATTGGTTCTCCCAAACCAGGACTCCACCCACATCAAGCAGCTTGGTCTCTGAGGAGCTTACAATTCCACCCTCAAGGGAACTAGGAAATGGCTCCTCTGATCTCCTACCAGGTCATTTCTTTATTCATGGACCTTAGTCAGAGAGTGAGGAAACAACCAGAACTGTCTTTTATAGGAGGGACAGTGATGAGGGGATTATAGGACGAGGGGCCCCACCCCCTCTATCACTCATCGCCATCTTCCCAACACAAGAAGTACTGCACTTCATTATTTAGTCCATGATTTAGTCATGAAGAACAGCGGGGCTGAGCCCCACCAGAGGTCAGAGAGTGAGGATGGGGGGGGAGAGAACAACCAAGATGAAGACTGGACTGATCCTGAAGACCACCATCATTGGGGTATTGACTCCTCCCTCATTATCACTTTCTGTTTAAGGGTCCAAAGTTGGAGGATGTTATCACATTATTATCACCATGTAAAAGTCTGTGCTCCAATCACATCATCCGATATAAAAATGTCCAGCTGGGAGGAAATGGGGGAACAAAAGAGAATCCATATTATGTGTATATATAGCAGTGGGGGGAGGGGGGAGAGCAGAAGTCAGGAGTATGTAATGTACAACATAGAGTATATAGTGCAGGGGTCAGGAGTATGTAATGTACAACATAGAGTATATAGTGCAGGGTCAGGAGTATATAATGTACAACATAGAGTATATAGTGCAGGGGTCAGGAGTATGTAATGTACAACACAGAGTATATAGTGCAGGGTCAGGAGTATGTAATGTACACCATAGATTATATAGTGCAGGGGTGAGGAGTATGTAATGTACAACATAGAGTATATAGTGCAGGGGTCAGGAGTATGGAATGTACAACATAGAGTATATAGTGCAGGGGTCAGGAGTATGGAATGTACAACAGAGTATATAGTGCAGGGGTCAGGAGTATGTAATGTACAACAGAGTATATAGTGCAGGGGTCAGGATTTTATAATGTACAACATAGAGTATATAGTGCAGGGGTCAGGAGTATGTAATGTACAACATAGATTATATAGTGCAGGGGTCAGGAGTATGTAATGTACAACATAGAGTATATAGTGCAGGGGTCAGGAGTATGTAATGTACAACATAGAGTATATAGTGCAGGGGTCAGGAGTATGTCATGTACAACATAGAGTATATAGTGCAGGGTCAGGAGTATGTCATGTACAACATAGAGTATATAGTGCAGGGGTCAGGATTTTATAATGTACAACATAGAGTATATAGTGCAGGGGTCAAGAGTATGGAATGTACAACATAGAGTATAAAAAAAAACAAAAATAAAATGGTGTTGCGCTAATATCAATAGTACTAAGGACACAATAATTTGAAGAGTGGGGAGACAGAAAAAAATAACCCCAAAAGAAAGGTGAGAAGTATAAAGGCTGAATCCAGACCTAATGAGGTAAAATATGAACTGTGACAAAGACAACATGAGTAATAATCACCAAGTGAACATAAATAATACATAGCAATGTAAAGGTCTGAACCCGGACCAAACTAAGTGCAACATGGATTGTGATGAAATACAACATGAACAATAATCAACTAGTGAACATAAATGATGTATTCAACATATTAGGACTAACACATCCTAAATAAAAATGGTACAAAAAGAGCCGTGCAAAGAAACCTGTGACAATCAAACAGCAAAGAAATATATGTGCAAACCTAATCATACAAGGTGCATGAAACTAAAAATGAAAAAATAATGAATAATAATGAAAGGAACGCGACATATAACAATAATAATGGAAGCACCGTGACATATAACATATAATAATGGAAGCACCGTGACATATAACATATAATAATGGAAGCACCGTGACATATAACATATAATAATGGAAGCACCGTGACATATAACATATAATAATGAATGCACCGTGATATATAACAATAATAATGGAAGCACCGTGACATATAACAATAATAATGGAAGCACCGTGATATATAACAATAATAATGGAAGCACCGTGATATATAACAATAATAATGGAAGCACCGTGATATATAACATATAATAATGGAAGCACCGTGATATATAACAATAATAATGGAAGCACTGTGACATATAACATATAATAATGGAAGCACCGTGACATATAACAATAATAATGGAAGCACCGTGATATATAACAATAATAATGGAAGCACCGTGATATATAACATAATAATGGAAGCACCGCGACATATAACAATAATAATGGAAGCACTGTGACATATAACATATAATAATGGAGATTTTTTATTTATGCATTAATGTCATACATATCCATCCTCAACTTATATATAAAAGTACAAAGTATAATAAATAGAATAAATAAATACAAAACTAAACAAAGAAACTGAAAAAAAGTCCCAACAAACCCCTGTGGGAGAAATAATAAACAAAGAACATAAAAGTCCATAACCTGAAAGGAAAAAAAACGGAACTTATATACAATATGTGCAGTACAAGGCCTTTTTTGGCCAAGACCATATAATTAGGAGCCTTTATGGCTCAGACATAAACGTAAACCATAAACAATTTCCATACTAAAACCTGCCGCTTACGGCCTATATGGCCCAAACTATACACAAAAAACACCTAACCATTATATACACTATGGGGGAGGGCTAAGGAACCCGCAGATCTTCCACGTCTGACACCTACAACCTACCATGCAAAAGGCTACCAAAAAAGACCGAAACGCAAAAAAGCTAGGGAGTGCAAGAGGCAGAAAACAGGGACAGTTCCCATCACCCGAGATCAACAGACCGCAGCAACAGGCTTGATGTTCCTCCACGCCTCCATCCAAGCCCTACGCCGCAGCCTGTCTTTCTCAAGACCCCGAATTTTCCCAACCTCACCAAGAATGTCACTCACCACCACCTGAACAGGGAGGACCTTCTGCCGAATGGAGACCTGACACCGTGCCATCCAAATGTAGTAACGGACAACTAAGCTGACTAAAAACAAGGTGTCCAAATCAAAACCCATGCGACACTCGAATGCTCCGTACACCCACACTCCGCATACGACATGCGATGGAGGAAAGGAACACCCAGAGCCCCTCCCACCTGTTTATACACCTCTACGTTAAAGGGGCACTGAAGCAAGAAAGTGGTCCATAGTCTCCACTTCACCCCCACACTCCGACCTCGGACAACCACGGTCATCCGGAGGACGGTACTTCAGGGTTACCCCTCACGTAGAGCCTGCCGTGGAAGGCGAGCCAGGCCTGGTCCCGCAACTTCAGGGGGATCCGCTCCAGATTTATCAACCGCAAACCCTCCCTCAAAACATGGCCCGGGCAATCTCTCAAGGCCAGCGGCGCATGGAAAGCAGATGCCACAATCCTCTCACCCAGGAGCCTCCTAGGGAGGGACCGGACCTCCTCCGCAGTCACATGCCACCGCCGGAGTAACTTCAGGCACGGGGCCGCATAAGCCGGGAGCTTACCATGCTTGACCCGCAGGCTTCTCACTGGCCCACCACACTCTCCCAACTGTGCAGAAAGGGTCCAAACCAGATCCGGAACAGTCCTACCCATGCAGGCGGACTCTCTGCCAGCATGTTACCAAAGTTATGTTTCAAGAACATCAGAGAGAAAAAGACCACCGGGTTGACCATACCTAGGCCACACCTCCCGCCTGGATGAGTAAGTCACGTCCCTCTTGACGAGGTTCAGCCGATTCCCCCATAACATCTGGAAGAAACAGCTATAGATCCTCGCATAGAGCGATTCTGGCAAGGGCAAACGAAGCTGACGTATAAAAAGACTGGAGCAGGAAAGTCTTGATCAAGTCAACCCTTTCCCTCAAGGAGAGCCGCCACCCCTTCCAGCATCTCACTTTGACCTCGGCATCCGACAGCTTGGATTCCCAATTTTGCTTGCTGTAATCAGCAGGGCCAAAATTGATGCCCAACACTTTGATGTTCGGCTGAGGCACTGGGAAGGCGTCCGGGAGTGAGAAGCTCTCACCCTCCCTGCCCATCCAAAGAACTTCACATTTGTCCTGATTGACCTTGGAACCTGATGCCTCGGCATACTGATCCATTACTGAAACCACCTCCTGCGCCTCCTCTGGGTCAGAAATGAAAACAGAAACGTCATCAGCATAAGCCACAACTCTCAAAGGCGGATCTCCAGTGGCACCCACCGGCACCCCGCTCACTGCCCCCGCCATCTAGCCTCCTGACGAAGGGGTCGATGGCAAAGGCATAGAGCAAGGGACTCAGCGGGCACCCCTGGCGCACCCCCAGATCCAACCTCAAAGGGCTGCCCAACCCAACCATTCACCAACATGAAGCTCTCAGCCCCTTGGTACAAAGTCTTCAACCAGCCGATGAACCTCCCCTCCAAACCATACCGGTCTAGGAGATGCCAGAGGTACTTGTGATCAACTCGATCAAAGGCCTTTGCCTGATCCACAGCCAGCAAGTACTTTCCCCATCCTTCAGCCTTACATCGCTCCAGAGCCTCCCGGACAGCTAACACCGCTGTAAAGGTACTCCTGCCCTGAACCGAGCAATGCTGCTGATGGGAAAGCAAACTGTCTGCCACTGACGACAAGCGCCAGAACAAGATCTTCGCCAGAACCTTTCTATCGACATTGAGGAGGCTGATGGGGCGCCAGTTCTCAATAGCCGAAGGATCCTTACCCTTTGACAGGAGGATAACTGCAGACTGTCTCATG